TAAACAAATAAATTAGAATGGATAAAGAAAATTGCTTTGTCACAATGGACGGTTGCTTCTTGTAATAAACAATAATAGAACCATACAAACTTTGATTTAGTCACGGAACGGAAAGGCAGACCTTTTGTATCTGTTCAATTGAAAAATGAGCAGGACTCATCTTGATAATCACTTATAAATACACAGCCCTTGCAACTTCATCAGTCACTCAGCAAAAACTTTTCTTCCTCACTTCAAAACTTGCCAAAAAAAAAAAGCATTTCTGCCTCTGAGAGGATGGCTGAGAATCTGCTTATAAGTGCATCCGTGGAGGTTTTACTGCAGAAAATATTCTCGGTCACTACTGAAAACATTAACCTTGTGTTTGGTGGTCCTCAAGAAATCTCATGCCTAATGGAGTATTGGTTTTCCCGCTCCAGTGAAGAGACTAATGTTGTGCAGGCCATCAGACAAGAGTTGGAGGAATTGAAAGGATCTTTATCCAACATCCAAGCTGTCTCACAGGATAATCTGAGGCTGCAGGACAAGGCTGTGATCGTTACGCTTTGGCTCCAGAAACTTACTGATCTAGCCGATGATGCTGATAATGCTTTGGCAGAGTTCGGCTATCAAATTCTCCAGCATGAGGTGGAGATGCTGAACCAAGAAAAACCAAAGGTAAGTCTCTTCTCCTGTCACTCTGATAAGAAGGCCTTTCGCCAAGAAATGATGCCTAAAGCAAGAGGCATCAGTAATAAGCTGGAGATGATCAATAAAGAAGTGAAAGACTTTTTAGCTTCTGAGAAATATGGTGTCACAACTGCTTCTTCCCCTCAGGTAGATGTAGTTCAGGAGGTTGGCTTCTTGATTGCTGACCTGAAAATCACAGAAAATGAGGAAAAGACATCTATAGAAAATTTCTGGTCCATAATAAAAGAAAAGGCAGGTGTAAGTGATGAAATACCAATAGGCCTGGAGGACATAGGAAGGCACGTTGCAGAAAAGTGTCAAGGTCTGTCTTTAGCAGCAAATTTACTTGGAGGTTTGTTACAAAACAAAAGAAGGGATTTCTGGTTGTCAATTTTAGAAAGCGGGGTATTAGATAAAGAAGATGTAATCTCTGCGATACTCATATTGTGCTTTGAAAATCTGCCATCTCCATTCCTCAAAAGATGTTTTGCATTTTGTTCGATGTTTCCAAGGAACTGTGTTATAGAAAGGGACCAGCTAGTCCAGCTTTGGATGGCTGAAGGATTTATTGACCCAGGGTTGGGGATTTCTGTGATGGAGGAATTAGGAAATCAATACTTTGACACTTTGTTGCAGAATTCTTTACTTGAAATTGTAAGCAAGGATAACTTCAACAAAGTAACACATTGTAAACTGCATAATCTTGTCTATGATTTTGCATATTCTCTGTCAAGCTTCGAGAGCATCACCTTCGGCGAAAGAGATCAAGATGACATTCGTCAGATTCAACACCTTGCATTGGAGTCGTTTACAGAGGAAACCATGAAGATTGCCAAGGAGAAAGCAAGATATTTGAGGACATTATTCCTAAAGAACAATTTACCTGACAATAACTTGTTAAATGTAAACTTCTTGTATGTTTTAAACCTCTGTGATGCAGATATAGCAGAATTGCCAGCATCTATTGGAAAGCTAAGGCATTTAGAATACCTTGATCTCTCGAGGACAAAGATAAAGTCTATACCTGACTCTGCCTGCAACCTTTACAAGTTGAAGACATTGAGGATCATTGGATGTAATTCTCTCAAAAAACTCCCAAAATATTTCAAGAATTTGCTATGCCTGAGACATCTTCACTTCTATTATAATGAGTACTTCTCTATGCCATATGAGTTTGGGCGATTAAGTCACCTTCAAACACTGCCAATCTATAACGTGGGAAAGGAGTGTGGTCCTCCAATTGGGGAGCTGAAGCACTTGAAAGATCTCAAAGGCAAGCTGGAGATACGAAATCTTGATCTTGTGAAAGACAAAAAGGAAGCTCAGCAAGCAAATCTATTTGGGAAACCGAATTTGCAGGAGCTGGAGCTTCGTTGGATTGATCCTGAAAGAGAAGAAAGAGAAGGTCCAAACAACGATGAGAATGTGCTGGAAGGCCTTGAGCCTTACCACAATCTGAAAAGCTTAAGGATCGAACACTTCCAAGGTGACAGATTCCCATCATGGGTAATGAAGATGTCTGTTAAAAGAGGCTCTTTGCAACTTAACAATTTGGTGGAGGTAAAACTGGAAAGCTGCACAAGATGCAAGGAAATCCCAACACTAGGGACCCTACCGCTTCTCCAAAATCTTGAGATAGTTGAACTCTCAGAAGTTAGCTGCTTTGGATCATCATTTTACGGTGGCAATGGATCAAATACCAACACCAGTGAAACTCAAGCTACAAAATCATTCTTTCCAGCACTCAAAAGCCTCACAATAGACTGCATGCCAAGCCTACTAGATTGGAAGGGACCAGAAGAAATCTCTGCATCTTATGAAGCTAAGACGTTTAATAGCCTTGAGAGATTATTTCTTAGATGGGATCCAAAGCTGATGACTGCTCCAAGTCATTTCCCTGCACTCAAGGTACTGAGGGTTGAATCCATCAAGAGCAGCTCGCCACTGGAGTGTATATGCAATTCCAAGCTGACCACCCTCACAAGTCTCCGTGTTGAGGATGTAGAGGAGCTAACTTCTCTTCCAGATGAGTTGCTGGAAAACAACACCAACCTTTCTCATCTATGTATTATAAAGTGCCACTCTTTGACACACATTGTTCCTCATATGTCCGGTTGCAGTGCAGTGCTCCAAGAGTTGGAGATCAAGGAATGCGGGGCATTACAAGAATTTCCACCAGAAATTTGTTCACTCAGATCTCTCAAAAGGTTCGAGCTATCATACTGCCCTAGTATCAAATTATTTCCAAATTTGAATGGACAGGGAGGCCTTCCATCCCTTCAGAGCTTGACAGTTTCTGAGTGCCAAGGTTTGATCAGTATACCAAGTGAGGTATTGGAGTCTTGCAAGTCTCTCCAATACCTATGGGTGACAGAGTGTGAAAATCTCATCGAGTTTTCTCCAAATTTTCAACAAATGCCTAACATTTCATTCATGGGAATTACTTCCTGCCCTAAGTTGAATACCATGCCCAAGGGGCTTGGTGCACTTAGCAACTTGGCTAACCTTAGGATGGGTCCTCTTTCAAATTCAATGGAGTTTGAAACATTCCAAACATGTTTTACAGGGCTTCAACAGCTTTCTTCACTTGTTTCTCTATTCTTAGAGGGGCAGCATCACTGGAATTCTTTGCCTGAAGAGCTTCAACACCTGACTGCTCTGAAAGAAATGACTTTATATGACTTTGGAATAGAAGTTTTGCCAGATTGGATAGGGAATCTTTCCTCGATTCAAAGTTTAGACCTCTCTTATTGCCCAAAACTTGAGTCCTTTCCCTCCAAAGAAATAATGGAAGGCCTCAAGAATTTGGAGAACCTGGATATCGAGGACTGTAATCTGCTAGCAAGGAAATGGATGCTGCAAAATGAACCAGATTCTGAATGGTTTAAAGTTTCCCATATTAAGCGCGTCATTCTAGATTATGAAGAAGTTTCAGATCCAATCATCTGGAATATGTAAGTGCTTCCAAAACTATCCATTTTACATTTTACTCTTAGGTAGTTCTAGATTCTTTACTTGCAAAAAAAAAAAAAATTTTCTTGACTTGCTGCAAGTCCAATCTACTATAATATTTACTGTTTTTCTTTTCTGTTTATTCCACTGCAAACCTCAATTATGCAGGATCCATAGGATGATGGAAAAGCGAATGCAAAAGAGAAATAATGAGGAAAAGAAGAAGAAGAAGAAGAAGACGAAGAAGACAAAGAAGAAGACAAATTCAAGTACTTCAACTAGCTGAAAAGTTGTAGAAGAAGATTGTCAATCAGGGATAAATATTCTTTAGGATAAGATGAAGTTTATTTGTTTTAAACTCTTGCATAAAGTAAGACAAATTCTCTTGAACTAAGAAGTGCTTTTTGAGAAAGTTCAAAGTAATAGAAAAGTGATTTTCCATAGCAAATCACTCTCTACTTGACCACTTTATATAGGAGAGATTGTTTAAGAAACAAAAGAACTTATTAAATACTTGTATAAATAAATTCAAGGTATTATATACAAATTCATGCACTTTAATTTATACATTCAACCTAGAGTAATTTGAAATTTCGAAGAATATTGTAAATTGTTTGACTGCACCAAGCTAAATGAGCTCTTATTTAGCAGGTTCACTATAGTAAAAGGCAAAGCTGATCAGTACAATCATGCAAAGCTAATTCATACAAAGTTAGTTTGATTCATCTCGCAATACAATCATGTTCTTGGTCTGGTCCTTATTAATCCTAAAGTTTTAGTGAAAAGTAAATTTAGTAAGGAGGAAAACAGCAGAGGAAAACTCTCTGTTTTCTCTTAATTATATTGTTAAAAAAAAAATACTATTTTAGCAAGGAGAAAAGCACGTCTCACCAATAATTGAACCCAAAAAAAAAGTGAAAAATACATACAGATAAAACATACAAGCAACCAAAAATTTCAAAAGTACATCAACAATCAACTTATACTCTTTTCAGTCTACTCTTTGGAAGACAACGTTGAAACTTGTACACATGCATTATATGACACAAGAATGTGTCCAAATTCAACTAATAGATGTACCTAATCATCTTAAAAATGAGAGTTAGGCTCCTCATCCAATGAATGTAATATTACTCACAGGAAAATTGTTTTTGTCAAAATGAATGGTTTATTCTTGAAATAAAAACAACAATGAGGCAATCGAGTATATTGACGTTCATATTAGATTTTTAATCCATATGAGATTCTTTTGTTTCTAGTAATTACAAAATATTTTCATAAGAAAATATATTACTCTATTTAAAGATGGTAGCAGAAGATGGAAGAATTGTACACCAAAACAAAGTAGACTAGAGACAACATCATCAGTTCATCAAACAATGTCAATGTCAAGAATTGGTGATTCCCAGAAGAGAGCAGTTGCACATGTAGCTCTGTTTCCTAGTGCAGGAATAGGCCATTTGGTCCCATTTCTGAGATTGGCAGCCATGCTTGCTTCTCCTAATTGCCAATGCAGAGTTACCTTGATTGCTGTTCAGCCTCCAGTTTCTGGTGCAGAGTCCAACGAATTGTCCAACGAATTGTCTGCCTTCTTTGCTTCCCACCCTCAAATCAATCGGCTTGACTTTCATCTCCCAATTCCCAGCAGTCCATCCGAATTTGCAGACGCTGAAAAACCTGATCCTTTCTTTGCTCGATTTCTAGATATTAGTAGCTCAGTTCATCTCCTGCATCCTCTCTTGGCTTCCTTATCTACTCCGCCTCTATCTGCCATCTTCGCTGACTTTGCTGTTGCAGCCGATATCAATCGTCTAGCTGATGAATTATCTATCCCCCTTTACATTGTATCCACCACTTCGGCTAGATTTTTTTCGGTTATGGCTTGTCTTCCTCACTTGACATTCGAAAGCAAAAGTTCGGAAGACTAGCATTCAGCTTCCGGGTTTAGCTTCGGTGCCAATTTCAAGCCTTCCTCCTCCCTTCTTTACTCCAGATCATATTTTCACAGCCCACATCCGTTTAAATGCTCAATTTCTCTCGAAAGCCAAGGGTATTGTACTTAATAGCTTTGATTGGTTTGAGTCTGAAACAATTGCTGCAGTAAATACTGGCAGGGTGCTGGCTCATTTACCGCCTTTCCTCCCCATGGGACCATACGAGCCTTGTAAGGCTGTCGTGAAAGCTGGCTCTTATCTGCAGTGACTAGACGGCCAACCAAATGAGTCTGTAGTCTATGTTAGCTTTGGAAGCAGAACAGCATTGTCAAAGGAACAAATAAGAGAACTACGAAATGGACTGGAGAGAAGTGGATGTAGATTTCTTTGGGCAATAAAGACTACCAAAGTTGGCAAAGACGAGAGGGAAGATCTGCAAGATTTGCTTGGCAGTTCATTTCTTGAAAGAACAAAGAAGAAGGGGCTAGTTTGTAAAGGATGGGTGGAGCAAGAGCAAGTTTCAGCGCATCCAGTAATCGGAGGATTTGTTAGCCATTGTGGGTGGAATTCTGTAACCGAAGCAGCTCGATTTGGGGTGCCTATATTGGCTTGGCCTCTAAATGGAGACCAAAAGTTGAACGCAGAAGTGACAGAGAAGGCAGGCCTTGGAGTATGGATGAGGCATTGGGGCTGGCTGGGGGAGAATCTAGTGAAGGGACAGGAGATTGGGGATCAAATTATCCAGTTGATGCAGGATAAAACATTGAGGGTAAAGGCAAAGAAGGTGAAGGAAGAAGCTAGGAAGGCCTATGAAGTTGGTGGGAGTTCTAAGAAAGTGCTTCTGGAAATCATAGAAAATCTTTGAGCTGAAGCCAGTAGGATGAAACTTGAAATGGGCAGAATCCACATCACTGGTAGCAAAAATTTAGCTGAGAACTCTGATAAATTACTGTTATCTACTGTCGTAGAAGCAAAATTCCCACTTTTGTGCTATTTTTTATCCTTGATTTGTTGTCAATTACTCCAGATGATGTTTCTCTTCTTCTCTTTCTGTACTTTTTTCCTTTCTTTCTAAATACATTAATTTATGATATCAACAAATAATCCTTGCTTCGTGTAGAATTGACCTGATAGAAGGAAAAAAAATTAAAATGATGATAGAAATGACCCTTGATTGGTATGAACTTGATTATATAATCTTCATACTAATGCAACTTTACAGTTTGGAACTTAAAAGTAGGAGCTGAGAAGATTGGTTGTCTTTGTTTATTGCTGTTCACTGGTGTTTACCGACCAGCTGGTCAGATTCATTTCTATTAGGAGAATACATAGAGACAGATTGGTGTCAAGGTGAATGTAGTGGAAGATGCAGTACTTTGGTACCATTAATTTGTGTCAAGAAGCATCACTTAGTACACAATCAAGTTCTATTGGCTACCATGATGAGTTTATGTTCTATATAGTTGAAAGACAACTAAAATTTGTGCACTTGCATATACAGCACAACAATATTTTTCCAATTTTAACTAACTGGAATACCTAATTATTTTCATAATGAAGACTGTGGCCCTTGATCCAGTAAATTTGACACAAACTCTTTTGTCACAATGTACGGTTACTACTTGTAACAAATAATAATGAACCACTGAGAGTTTATTATAGGCAAGGCATGGAAAAGTTGACTGCAGATCTATTGCATATGTTTAAAATAATTAAATTTCACATACTTCATTTACCTTTTATAATCACTAAAAAGCACACAGGTCTTTGGAACTTCATTGCTCACTGAGCATCAGAATTTCTTCCTCTCTGCAAACTTGTGCAGAACAAAAGCACCTCTACCTGCGAGAGAATGGCTGAAGCTGAGCTGATGAGTGCATCCATGGACGTTTTGTTGCAGAAAGCAATCTCAGTGACTGCTGAAAACATAGACCTTGTGTTTGGTTCTCAGGAAAGCTCAGGGTCCTTGAATACTATGACAAAGAATTTGTTTTCCCACTCCAGTGAAGAGACTAATCTTGTGCAGACCATCAGAGAAGAGTTGGAGAGTCTGGAAGGTTCTTTATCAATCATCCAAGCCGTCTCGCGGGACAATCTGAGGCTGCAGGACAAGGCAGAGAACATCAAGCACTGGCTGCAGAAGCTTGGAGGTTTAGCCTATAATGCTGATGATGTTTTGGCAGAATTTGCCTATGAAATTCTCCCAGCATGAGGTAGAGATCTTGAACCAAGAGAAACCAAAGGTATGCTTCTTCTCCTCACATTCTAAGAAGAAAGCCTTTGTCTATGAAATGTTACCAAAAGCAAGAGATATTTATAATAAGCTGAAGATGATCGATAAAGGAAATGAACACTTGTGTAGATCAAAAGCACAAGCGAACCAGCAACCATTAGGTCTTTCACTTAAGAATATCAGTTTATAATCAGCACAAGAGAAACACGGGATTTAAGAAGTGGGGAAGTGACAGAGGAATTAGAACTCACGACCCATAATTTTGTTCTCGTTGTTTAATCTCTTCTTATTTGGTCATTGTGAATTCTTTCAGCTTTTTGTAATTTTTCCTTATTTTACTCCTTTGCATCTCCAATCTCTCGCACGGAGGGTGATCTTGGAAACTTGAAAATCTACCACATAAAACATTAGTTCTTTTTCATTTACAGTTTGTTAATTATCAAAATTAGAATATTAAAGACAACACTATATATCACCCGCTATCTTTTACTGTGATGAGCATGTAATTTCCAGGGCCACTGGAGCCCAGTGGTCATCCCAAGCCTAAGGTGCGGGAAGTCAAGGGTTCGAACCTTGCCTCCCACAAAAATTGTCACAATATGTGACGGTCTTCATTGACCAGTTTCGATGGATTTTCTACTCACATCGAGTCCTCTCCTCCTCCCCCTAGAATAGGTTAGTTTAGATTATAGGAATTCTATCGTATCGAAAAAAAAAAAGCATATTATTTCCAGGCCAAAAGAAAAAAAAAATGAGATTAAGAGATGCATTTCAACCAAAATGTTGTGTTTTGAGTATGTGAGCACTTGAAATGCATCATTTTAAACAGGGGAAAAAGTTTCGATGGCCCTCAAACTATTAACCGGATGAATTTTTGGCCTCTAAACAATTAAAAGTGAACTTTTGGCCCCCGATCTATCAAAAGTACAAAATGTTATACCTTCTGTCAAATTTAGTAGTTAATACCGATGGAAACTACGACCGCGTGAAACGCACACCGAAATACAAAGAGCATTTTTGTCCACAATGAGCTAAAGCATTTCTGAGATGGTAAGAAAAAGATAGGAATCACTGCCAGACTTGTTTGGGGGCCAATAATTTACCCGACTAATAGTTTAAGGGCCACTGAAACTTTTTCTCCTTTTAAATATGATTGGATGAAAAAGGATGTTGTGTGGATGTAAGGAACTATTTGTTCAATTTTCCCTTTTAGGATTTTCTATCACTTCTCTTTCTACACGCCTTAGTGTGCCTTTTATTCTCTTCATGTTCATGACATATTATGAGTTAGAAGTTCCACTCTCATGCAATGAAAATTAATAACTTATCAGGCTTTTAGGATCTGTTTAATGTTAATAAAAATTTGATGCATTTAAGTCTAAATATTAGATTGCTTTAGAACTTCTTTCAAACAAATACTAAATTTCTTGCTCTACCAACTGACCAATTTCTTTTCTTTTTTTTTATATTCGGATGAATACTGATTCATCAACTTAAAATGTACCAAAAGATAGTGTTCTTCCATTGGAAAATAAACAATAATAGTAAAACAGTTGTAATAATCTATTTCTACACTAAAAAATTAGCCAAAGTAAAAGAACAAAAGGAGAAAGGAAAACAAAATATTCTAAAATATTCGCTAGGCCGCAGGATATTTATACTTGTACGGATCGTCAAGATTGCCGCATTGCATGATCTTCTCCCAAATAGTGAATTAACAAAATCAGCTCCTCCTTCCATGCATAAACTTTAAGGTGAAATAGACAAGACATCTGAACCCTGGACCACAATATAGGCCGAATAAGGGCATGTAAATTATTATTGCAATTTCTTTTTTGCTTGATTCAAAATTTTTCTTCGGGTAAAATACGCTTTAACGATTTGTCATGTAATGCTTCTGTAATTTCAAAAACTATGCATAACTCTCTCATAATTTGGACTAAAATATCAAAATGATGGAAATCATCCTTTGTAATGGAACCCACAAAAATGTCGAGATTATTCTTGTTTAAAAACTAAAATAAAAGAAGTAATTTAAATACATAAACATAATATGCATGATATTTTAATCCTTTATAGTTTTATGTTTTACCATATAACCCCATTATATTTTTTGAAATATGTGCAAAACTACCATGTGATTAATGAATAATATGCAACTTTATATACGGTACTTTTCACATTTAAGTTGAATCACTTATGGAATACAAATTCCGTTAGTTTGACACTTTTGTCCAAACAATGAGAGATTTATGTATAGTTTTTTGAAACTATAGTGGCGTTATGTGTAAAAGTGCTAAACCACAGGGAGTAAAGTATAATTTACCCTTTTTCTTTTATTGTGACACATTTATATTATGCAACGGAAATTTGTTGCAAGTTCTAACAAATTAAATTAGTTCTTTCTTTTGAGATTTGTATTTGTTCTGAACAATTATTGTTTTATCAATAAAAGTGACAAACTTATCAAAAAATAGGATAAAATAACAAACTAAAAAGAAAATATGGAATTGATGGTATTCTTTTCAAATTCAACATATTTTATGATCACTACAGTATTCAAAATGGTTTAGCTGCTGAAAACAATGAGTTCAGTTTTTCAGTTTTGACTATTCTTTATCTACAAATTCACAAACTTTTGCCGATCCACTACCTAATTTCTAAAATTCTGAGTCAAGTGATTAAACTAGCACTTGGTTGGATACAGCATTGGGCTGGAAAACACAAAGTCACCACATATTATTATTTGCAAGCTAATGGATTCCGCCAAAGTTTTACAGACTACAACTAGTGCCAATATTGATTGTGCACCTTAGACTGAGCTTCTCATTTTATTTGGATTCAAAAGTTAAGATTGAAGGAGTCGAAATCTGGATATTGGGGGTTCTAAAGCAATTTTTGCCCCAGAATGCATCAGCATAAAGAACTTAAATTAGTTCTAATCCTTTTCTAGTCCTCCTTAACCTCCTCCCAAGAAACAAAAAATAATTCCAAAGTAAAACTAAATTACAAAGTTTAGTTTTCTTTGTTCCTTTTGTTCTTCAAGATCAAATGCAGACATAAATTAACTTGCTCTTTTCCAAAAACGCAATTTCAAAAACTATTGCTTGAAAATATTTAGTAACTAACGTTGTAGTTTCTAAAAAGTACACTATTGTATAGATTGGCTACACTATGTTTTTAACTAAACCATTACTATTTTCCGTTTCCCTCCTCAGATAGCATCAACAATTACCTTAAATCATGTTGAGTTTCATTCCCAGACCACACAATCTTTTCAAGTTTTTGGGGTATATTGTAACACATATAAAAGACACAATCACAACACTTTTTTTCTGCCTAAATAAAGTTATTGAACTTTTTTCCTGATAAGCAATTTACAATCTACTCTCAATTTAAACTCGTCATTTTACTTTTAATACTTGTATATATAGTTGCATCATTTCAACTTTTAGGTTTAAGATCAGCTTCTATTGCAAAACTCTAGCTCCCCTACAACCCATAGCCAACATTTATAAAGGCGTTGTTATCATTTTGCTCTCCTAAAGTTTAGAGCTACTTTCAGTCTCCATCATAGCATTATTCTTCAGGCATTTTATCTCTAAACCTAACACTCACACTTGGCGTAGTTTAGCGATGCAATTATAAGATACATTTAGCCCTTAGAGTCATTACTTTATCCTCTTAAACTATAGACTATAGAGCTATTATTAGGTTACCTCCTAACATAATTTTTTATGTATTCTACCCATTAAAATAGTTTAGCATGTTGATAAATTTTGGACAAAATTACCTTTCTCTTTATGTAATAAAAATATTCAAAAACTTTGAATTATTCTTCACCATTTTTCCCACTCTATTAAATACAAAGGGGTGATTCTCCTTTTTTTTGGCACTCTTATCAATATTAAGAAAGGCAAGAGACGGGAAAGAATTAGAGGGAAAACTCGATTCTGGAAAGAAAGAATATGAGAAAGAACATAGTATTCTCAATATACTTTTTACCCTAATAGTATTGATAGTTAGCCTTAAGGCATCAGAGTTCGAGGGCATACAGGCAAATGAGCAAAGCTGATTGTTACATATTCAAGGAAAGAAATTATATGTTCACAAATTCCCCCCGCAAAGTTGAGTGGATATGGCCTAAATTATAAGTTAACATTGACCCAAGAAAAGAGGGGCTCATAATTATTCATCTGTGAGGATCCGAAAATTTTCTTATTTTATAGAATATTACTGGAATATTTAAATGATTATTCACTCATTTTCTTCGAATTATTTATTTCGACCATTTTAAATCCATTTATATGGAATGACGCCTCTTTATAATTTTAAAGCGTTTTGTTGAAAAATTCGCTTTTCGAAAATTTGTTTAGTCCTGAACGACGGGTGCACGTTTTTCTAGGCTATACTTGAATCGGGAGTGTATTAATATTGGAGAATTAAGAACGATCAATAATAGATTAAGAAAGGTTAATGGAGGAATTAATACTCAATTCACGTGAGGACTCGTAAAATTATTATTTTTAAAACCCCTAATTTTGGCTCAATTAATTATCTATTTGGATTTTTGCCCCGAATATTATTTTCTATCCTTATTAGACCTAAGTACATGGTTTTATAGTTTCGTTATATTTTTAAAGTATCTCGTTTCAAAAATTATTTTCTTAGAAGCTTGTTTAGTGAAAAAGTGAAAACGTGTCTAAACACTTTAGCCAATTGGGAGTACACTAAGCTCGAAAATTTGGGGATATGTACAATGGTTCTAAAATAGGTAAATTTAGGTTTAAATACTCAAGTGGTAGTTAGTGGTACGATCGTTATAAGAATTTCTCGAAAGTTTCATTTTTTTTGCGCATAAATTGGAAATACGTGTTTTCACGTGTGCGCTTAATTGAGGGACTTTGGACCATTATTTTGGAACAATTAAGAATGAATAATATTTATATGAATGTAAGTGCCCTAGAGGTTTAGTGCACTAGTGCAACAAACTTAAGAGAAATCGAGCACAAAACGCGCGCGTAGGCGCACTATTTGCAATTGATTCTTTTCCGCACTTAAACTATTACACGAGTAGCGTTCCTTATACGCCAAAGGATCAGCAAAACACTTCATTTCTTCAAGCTCCTTGGACGGCTAGCAGCTGCAAAGAAACAACAAAAACTTTCAACATTCCCTCTACAAATCTTACTCAATCTCTACCAAATTCTCTTAAAAAAATTCAACTACACTTAGCTCAACTCTTGGGAAGTCCATCTAGCTGCAAAAGAAAGGAGCTATCCACGGTTTTCTTCAGGCTTCAAAGGGCCGAAAATTCTGTCTTGACAAACCATCAAAGTAGGTAATGATCTAATACCTTAAACTTGTCCTATGGAAGTTAAATTACACTTATGAGCTTGAATTTGCATATGGGTTGTGGTTGTTGTTGGAGAAATTGGAAAAGTGGGCTCTATGAATTCCCACTCTTGGGTTACTGCTGATTTTGTTCTTGATGATGTTTATAATGTGGAATTAGTGTTTAAATCAGTGGTTTGTTGATGGAAAATTGATAGAAACTCACGTTAGGTGCAAAGGCCAAATCTGACCATTTTGCCCCTGCTTTGTTCGGCCACCTTAATGCAGAAATTTGAGGATTTAATGGCTTGATTGCATTGTTTACATGTTGTAGAAATTGTGTACAAATTTTCATTGAAAAAATGTTGAGTTTTGGTTGATCAAAAGAATTTATTTCCCAAAGCTAG